ATGAAAATAGAAATCAAATAAATACTTTTCAAAATTCTATAAGTATATTTAGTGTTTTCGACTAAAATTGTCAAAAAGGGGATTCAACTGTCGGCCAACTAGCTTCATTGTAGCCAGACCGCACAAGTTCCGTATGTACTTGTATCTCAAATCTAATCCATGATCGGGGGGGGGGGGGGTGACCAAATGGTTAGCACGAGCGCACTGTATCATACGGTCTGTCATTGAGTCAACTGGCGGGGTTTCGATTCACCGGCTGTACGTGACAAGGAGTAGAGTCGCCTGTCCAACTTCGTGGGTTTTCTCCGGGTCCTCCGGTTTCCTCCCACTGCTAAAGACCCCTACGAGTGATTGAAATAAAATTGAACCATGTGTTAGTCCCGAAATGACCTAGTATGTGTCGAGTGGACGTTACACCCCATTTCTCTCTCGCTACCCTGAACTTTAATATCATTAGTACATGTTGTAGTACTCTTTGAGGTGTGACACTTTTAAATTGTTCAATAATAATTTTAAGACAACCAAGGTTTTGCGAAAGAGGACCCTGGGATATCGTGATTTTTTCCTCTCCGTGTATCTAAAGGTTTCGATATCTGGATAGTACCTAAACTCCATACCACAGACCGCAATCAATTATTAACATATATTGTAAAGAATCAACCATCATACATCCTGACTGTATACATGTTGTTTTTTTGTATAAATTAATAAGACAAAAGGTCGTACAGTAAATTAACTTGTGTGATATTTATACTATAGGCGCTGCTTGATTGTTGTCTCTTTGTATATCTTCTTACAGAAGTTCGTGCTATTTTGTATTGTATGATCACGAACTTGATATGGATTTGTTTTGACCTTTATTTCTGGTTCAATATGACCGATAACCAACTCCCATCCGTGGCACGTGACAAGTTTGGGATTGCTTAACTTCAAGGACATCTTAACAACATTCTAGACCCCCGGACAAGGCAGTGCCTCTTACACAACCACTCACGGGAATAATAATTAAATTTGTCGATAAAGTTAAACATATATGTATTGTACTGGTATAGCAATTAAAAGGAATTCACAACATACATAGATTAGCATAGGGCCCCTATGATCGTGGGGTACCCGACCAACTGCCCATAGTGCCCAGGCGTTAAGACGAACCCGCCTATCTTCAATAATCTTCCAAAATAATTAGGCCTGCAGCCGAAATTTCTAGCTTGCTTAGAAACACAATTCCGCTACATGGTCCGCCCAAATAAACAAACTATATATTTTTGTAAAGCTTATAACACTAGGAACACAAATCCAGAGAGTTCCAAGCAAAATGTTTGCTCTAACTCGATTTAGGGCCAGATGAAAATTGTGATAATTTTCAAGTAAATGCTTTATTTATACTAACAATTGTGAAGTTGACATAAATTAAATATTGGCGAAAACACTCAATGCCTTCATCCTCAGCAAAGAATATACTATTGGTTAAATTTTGATTTAAACCAAAATTCCGAAAACATAATGGACAAGTCAACATACAGAATTTTGGAAATCCATTAACGGTAATAGAGAGTTATCTCCCTTTCTGTCAAATGTCTGCAATTAATAACCGTATTTCAGGTGTGTGTTGACTGCTGATACTGTATGACGCACAAGACCATGTGTGAGCACACAAGCCCAATATTTATATCGTTAATGGGGTCCCAGGGGACTGCAAGGGTTGGTGAGCGGGTGTTTACTCAGAAATTATGGGTCTAGTCTGATGAGCAAGGAGATATGCTGACATTGGTTGAGCAAAATGTCTATGAAGTAATGGGGACCGGACTTTGTCCGTAGTTTTGTAAATCGCATTGAAACCATGTGATTTTTTCCACTGAAATATAAACCCACACCTACATACCCTTTCAATTAGGCCCTACATTATTTTTACTACAGGTAACTGTAAACCTCTAGTTCAGATATTTAAGGCTGAATTACAAACATATTTAAACTGAAACCGTATCTATAAGTGTGTAATTTGCTAACAAATATAGATATAAGAAAAAAAGTGAGCCTATTTGCCCGAAAAATTTCTTTGTCACCCAAATTTTTTGAGTGAATCAATCATTAACTAAAATGAATTTTCCACAAAGCTGTGATGGTAGTTTATTTCTGATTAATTACACAATTATACAACTATATTTCCATGAGATATGATCGTATTCTCCATTCTCTGATGCTTGTGCCCGAAAAACTGGACGGTTCAAGGAATCTGGAGGTGTGTGTGTGTGGGGGGGGGGGGGACATATAAGTTCTCCCTAAACAGTATTTCTACTAATATATCTGTAAACTTTTAATTCAGATAAGAGTGGGGCTAAATGTTTGAATTGAAACAAAGCATCTATATGTAATTTTCTCACTAAAATAGATATATGGCAAATGCTAAATAATACTGTATGGGAGTGGCAATTGTAATGAGAAAAAAAAAATCAAATGGAGTTTACTGCCTAACCGTTCAGTATCAACCGGGATAATGAAGACGTATGTATACGCCCGCCATACAGCATCGTTACGGTCTACACTTTATATTCCATCCAAATAACTAGACGCTGCCCATCACAGCCCCACCCCACCCCACCACTGACAAGGTGAAACAAAGCTGGAAAGTTTGGGGAACTATCTAGGTCAACACGGATCTCCTGATTAGTGAGCCACGGACAAGGGGGAACTACGCCAGACTAGGATCACACTCTTGGCAGTCCGATAAGTGAGCCAACCCTTTACTAAGTCACCGCGGCTCCCTTGCACACTGATGATGACATTTACATCCTAGCTGTACACGTACAATGCCCCCCTCCCCAAATATCACGTATGACGCATGCTCATCTTCATTATATGGGTTGGTGCAGAACAGTAAGACATTAAACTCCATTTACTTATTTTTTCTCTTCAATTACAATATTGTGACTCCTTTTACAGTATTATTTAATTTTGGCCATATCTATTTTAGTGAGAAAACTAAATATATGTAGATGCTATATTTCAGGTTAAATATTTGTTAGACCTTTAGCCTCAAATCCTATCTAAAAAAAAGTTAAACTTATATAGGCTCTAGTCTGTAGTTAAATCCTATTCAGTTTATCAAATAAATTCTTTAAACAAAATACTGTTATCAATGATTATTGATATTTTCCATAAAGGGAGATAACTCCTTTTACCATTAAATGCATTTCCGAAATTCTGTATGTTCCCCTGTCCTTTATGATTTCTGCATTTTTCTTTAAATCAAAAGTTAACCAATAGCATATTCGTTGCATAGGATGAAGGCATCAGTTGTTTTCACCAATATTTAATTTTATTTCAAATTCACAATTGTTAGTATAAATATAGCATTTACTTGACAATTATCACAATTTTCATCTGGCCCTAAATCGAGTTAGTGCAAATGTTTTGCTTGGAACTCTCTGGATTTGTGTTCCTTGTGTTATAGGCTTTCCAAAAATGTATAGTTTGCTTTTTTGGGAGGATCATGTAGCGGAACTTCACTCTAGAAATTTTGGCTGCAGGCCTAAATGTACCCCTAATAATAATTACAAAATAAACTAAGATGTAAATATTTCAGTATCCTTCTATATTAATCTCGTCTTCATTAGCTCGGTTGGTGTAGAAAGGTATTACGTTAAACCTCATTTAATTTATTATATATTAATCAACGAAATAGCCACAGGACGGATCTTTAGATTATGATTTCATTTTTCATTATTACAAATCCCCCACTTTATCTATTTAAGCATCTTTATTTTGTCTTCCTTCATTCGTTACCCCTGTTCACGTGACGGATATTTGTTAAAACAAGTCCGTTATAATCAATATAACTGATGCTAAACTCAAGTATAAAAAATCTGTCATAATTAATAAAACAAGCATTCCATCGTATCTGAACCCAGAGACATAGCGAGTGTCAGATATATATGTAATGATTATCCAACCAAACTTTTTTTTCTGTTGCTTCTGTACATTTTAATGAAATTTCCGATGTGGAGAAAAGTTTAAGCTTATGCTCAGACGACAATACATCTTTTAAAAATCAAAACGTTCATTCTTATGCATAATTTTAGAAGGACTGGACCTTTGTGAGCTATAGTAATGTCTAATAAAATATAAGAGAGACCACTAGTTGATAATCTTTAAAAACAAATCACCACAGTCTCTGGACTAATACATCGGATCCATAACCACGTGCTTAATTTCAAGCTTTTCGCCCAATACCGAGCGAAAGTGACGTCTGTACCTTATAAAGATTCTTGTCGAAAACACGTCGATAGTTGTTTCATGTTTTTTTTTATGATCTTCACAGAAACGACAACCATCTTAACTTCACAACGAGGCTAATTTTAAATAATAGTAACACTCTATATTATCAATAATGGAAATCAAATTATCTTTTTTGTTTGTTTTAAATGCGTTCCGAGATAGACATGTCTGGGTGAACACTGCACAAAAGACTTCACCAAACATAACAAAACATCTTCAATTTTCTGAATTTTTCTGAGCGATTGTAGATAGCGCAACTCCCACGTCAGTTTTCAATCAGACAAAAAAAAATGGAATCATCTATCTTAAGGTTCCAGCATGTCGCCTGCATACGTAAATGATTGGATCCCATCATTAGTTGTTGGAAATGTCAGACCTGGGTTTAATGCACACTTTATGTAGGATTCTATAATTTGAGTCAGAACAACTTTAAGAACAAAAAATACCATAAATAAAAGTGGGGTTAACTATGCAAATTAAAAGCCTTAAGTTACATAATTGTCTATGTACATTGTCGGAAAGTTTCAAATATTGAGCCGTTTCACATTTTATTCTTCTATTGTGCGAGTGACTTGATAATCGAGACGATCAGTAACCATGTTCACTATCGTCCTTAGTCAAGGCATTGATACTATATGCGCCGAGTTTCATCACTCTCACTCAATTAGAATCAAAGTTATTGTTTCCCAATGTCTTGACCAATCAAATTGCTTATCTCTTTTTAGTGTAAGCAGAAAATTCTGATTGTTTATCCAAGTCACGACACCCACTTGACCAAACACCAGCTCCCAAAGGTGGGGCGGACAGACATAAGGACAGCTGCTTGGCTTCAGCAGTATGTTCATCATCGAACTCAAACAAATCATTCACCGAATAAAAATGTACAAGTTTGAACATTCTCAATTAGAAGCAGAGGTATTGTGTACCAAAAATTGTGACACGCGTACAGACAGACGAAAAAATAAGCACAAGACAAAAAGACGAACCCCGAAGGATCGAAATATTAATTTACGAGATGGAACAGATCCATCAATATCACCACAGAACTATCAACACCATCATCAGAAAATTGTGCGCTCACCATATTATCTTCTGTATATTAACTTATTTGTATTTATCTAAATTACTATATATCCGTTTTTGATTTTGATCTATTGTGACATTGGAGGTTTACATACATTACATCTTTGTTAATCAAACTATTATATATATGATTCTAAATAAGGTAAATCTGTAAATAATTTCTACGGCTTGTTTTTAGATTCCATAAGTATATGTTGTATCTTTATATTGTCTACATAAAAATATCACAGAATGAAAAATCTTTGTATTGATCTGACATTGTTTGTAAATACGTATGGACGTATGTTCAAACAATGTCAGATAATTACAAAATGCAAAGATGATATTAGAAAATCTACAACCTTAAAGACACTAGAGCAGAATATGCCCATTATTGAACTTAGTCAAGGTAATTCTGTAATGAGACTATACCCCACTCTCGCTCAACTACAATCCAAGGCGGACGAATGAACCCATTAGCAAAGCCCCTGCTTTCTCCGAAACGCAAGAGGCAACAAAAAACCAGCGTTTTCAGTGAAAATAGAAAGTGAATTACAATGAAGAAATGTAAGATAAATTGTTTAGCCCTGTCATTTTCTAAAGTAAGTGAGTAATAGTTTGTATCTAGTTAGTTTTCTGGATAAAGTAGACATACGCTGTTTTGCGCATGACACCCATCATTACGTGTAGCTATGTGGGAGAAGCCATCAAAAGACATCAGCCATGTTTGAAAGAATTATTCTGGATATATATTTCGAAATCAAGCGGAATAATTTTGCGTAGAAACTTATATCCTAGTCCTATACAAATATTTGAAGATCTGTTGGAGTGTTGCACAGAGACACAAACTGTCAGTTTCCTCCTTTTCCACGCTATTCCCAAATGCCGGGATAGCAATGTTTACCCATTGGTAAGTAATCGTCGCTATTACCCAATTTCTCTTAAAGCTACGTAACATCTATTTGTGATATTCTTTTTTACATTTAATTTGTATATTTAACCTCACTTTAATCTGGGACTTTCACTTTAAATACAACAAAAACTGAAAAACTTTATGGTACCTTCTACAAAGAGTAAACACACACACAACCCACCTAGTCCAAGTTTTCGTCTGTAACGCTATAAATCTGGGGTGTTTTTTGGTGATATTCTACAAAATATATCAACATTAGCACAATTTTGATTGGATTCAAGTGATGGCCGTTATTTTATTTAAATAAAGTAAAGCAGCAACCCAAACTTGATTATCTTTAGTTTTTGTTATTGTTCAAGCACAAAAACATATGCTCGCCATTTTTTAACAAAAATATATGTTTTATAAATGTATTAAGAAAGGATCGGTAAATCATTATAATGTAGAATATATCGCCTTATTGTTTTCAGTTTTTCCCTTGATTCAAAGCTATCTTATATATTAACAGAATTTTTTTGAAGACAGTTTATTTTTTTTCAAACATTGGATGAAACTTAATTATCTATACGGGGAATTGATTTGTTAAAATTAACTGGAAAAATAAATAAGTTTGTGTATTATTGCGAAATACACGTCTTCTTGCCCCTTCCGATTAACGTCTTTAAACTTACATGGCAGAATTACAGTAGCAATTATAAAAACGAAAAATTTATTAACTTTTTCTTCTCCCTGGGAACATAGCATTACTTTCAGAGCAATTCCTTTCTGTTATATAACATTTAAAATTTCTTTTTCGAAGTGAAGTATTGACGGAACAAATTGTGTTCATTTTATTTGTTTTAAAATCCCATCTGAAAAACCATCGCCATATCGATTTTTGTGCATCACACCATATATTGTGCATCAATTTGGAAGTCACCTTACAATTTGAGAGAGAACAGTCCCGAATACAAGAATATTACAACAACACTTTAGGTAAATGCTCTTTTAAAATCTTCAAATTATGGTCACTAATAGAAAACTGCTGCATCACATAATTTCTAGTAATCCGCTTATTGTGTTTTCATCCTAGTTTTTCTTCTAACTAAAGCGAAAGTAGTTTTTGGGGAAGAACGGTTGAGTAACGTAATTACCGAAGACAACCTGTCGATCCCACAACAGGCATCAATAAAAATGCATCTCTACAACACAATCCATCAATTTCTATCCCTTCATTTTCTATTCCTTCAAACCCATTCCTTCTTAAATAGACACGATGACACAGTCCGTTTTAATTGCATTACCATGATCAACTTAGATCAGTTAACAATTGGCAACAACGGAGAAGTGAGGGAAAGCATTGAACGAATATTTTGTGAAGAGGTGATTAAGTTGATTGGGTTATGTGACCTAATTGTCGTCTTGTAGCGAGACTGTGAACAAGCGGATCAATACATCGATCTATATTGAGTCGTGTCACCACTTCCGTTTTAATGGGGCTAAATGCGTATTTTCGTTTAAGAGAGAGAATTAAGGAGGGGTGAATCCGAACAGGGGTCGTTATCGGAAATGTGATCGTGCTGTTTTACCAATTCTGGTTGATCCTTTCCAAGACGGGTGTTACCAGTTAAAATATTCGGACCTGAGCTCGCGAACGGATAGTCGCAGACTAACAGACACGCTCACAGTCGCACAGATCTTCGATTTGTCCACACGTGATAAATCAAAGGGTGGGAAGCAAAGAGGCACGGATTACAGACCGTCTTGAACCAAATATCCATTTTATACCCTCAATATCCACAGTGTGTTTTTCTACGTGCTAAAATAAACAGATCGACCGCTTCCATCAGCGTAATAATATGTTCTTCCTTTTTGCAGGCTTATACACAAATGTCATGTTTGCCAACACAGGTCGGGTTATTAAGTTAAAGGCACTGATTCGTTCAAACGCAGCTAAAAAGAAGAAAATTAGTTTTAGAGTATGTGTGATGTAACTGGGTCAATCAAACAGCTAGAGACTTGTGGACAAACAACCCCATGTAACGCTTGACTATAAAATAGAATATTATAATGGTTGTTTGAATATCGTATTAAGGTGTCAGAAATTGGGTCAGATATGCAGAAATTGGTTTCTGTATGCTGATTTAATTATAATATTAGACGGGAACAGGTCAACTTAAAAGGAGAAAATGGACAACGTTTGCAGTGAAGCAAAAATAAAATGAAAGATTACGAAACCACAACAATTATTTGTTAGCTATCAAATCATCATAGCAGTAGTGATAGAAAGCATCAGCATGTTAATATATAATGATGATTTCAAAACCGGTTTAAAATATCCATTTGCTTAATACTGGTATTTTTTTTTTAAACAATATTTTTATTCATTAAATCTGAATTGGGATTGGGGAACAGGCTATGCCTATGTGTAACCCCTCTCTCTCTGATTTAGATACATGTACACATTATAATATTTACATACATACATACATAATTACATAAATATAGAGAATATATGATACATAATGGATAATATAGAGACTTAGATGATTATACAGAGTGGAGGGCTTGGAATGACTTAAGAGTTGTTTCTGGAGATTTAAATCTTTTTGATAAGAAAATAAATTGTTGGACTTCTTGGAAAATAAGTGTGTTTATCTCTGGACTAAGTTTTGTTGACCCATACAACAGACAACTGATTGTTTTATGATTATGTTGAAGGTTATGGATTGTCCGTTTTCTTGCATCTGAATATAAGTGGCATACGAGTAAATAGTGTTCGGTATCTTCGAATTTGTGACCACAGAGGCAAGCAGGGCTTTCATCGACGTGTCTGAGGAATTTATGGCCTTGTAGGTTCGAGCAGCATAATCTTAGTTTACAGTGGATTATTTGTAATTTTCGTATCCCTGTATAGTAATATGATGGCACGATGGTATCTAATTTATTTAGTGAATTTCCAAAGATAGCAATGGATCGAGAGTTTCTAACTTCAACGTTAAGTTTGTTCCATTCTCGTATACTGGAAGGGATGAAGGACTCTGAGAAAATTTCGGTTCTGCATCTGGTTTCCTTTAGTTTATCTTTGTTTCTAAGGGTATAATTGAAAGGGGTAGAGGACAGTTCTAATAGGTCAGAGAGATATGATGGAACGAGGTTGTTAGTAATTTTGTACATTAATTTTAATTTATGACGTCATCTTTTGAAGGAATGCTCCCAAACGCAACACATGCATGAGTACCCCAGTTTGCGCATGCCAAAAATTATTTATCGCTCGAGCAAAACATGGTTATGGCTACGTTTACTAATGCGTTCACTCAAACAATGCGTTAATCATCTCAACTGGGTTGGAAATGTAGTTAGCAACCCAGATGGTTTGTCGGCGATAGATTGTCGGCTAGTATAGCAAATTTAGCAGAAGACATTTCGGAGATCAATCTGTGAACGGGCCTTAGCAGATGATATCACTGAGCGCGGTGCCATCAAAATTCGGACCAAAACTAGGCGGTAGTAAAACACAAGCACCACATTTGTCGTCTGGAACCCGTACTGGTGAAGGACATGGAATCTACGAGGTGTCTATGATAACCCCTGTAGCATATCAGTAAATGTTGCTCAGACGCGAATCCGAATGGTCATGTAATATTTCGTGTGATGATCTCTACATCAAGTTATGTTTAAGATTAATGAACCGGGTCTATATCATCTCTTATCTAATGGGAACTGGTCTGAATAAATATCGTGTATTTGTATTCAATAATGGTCGTCTTGGGTCACATAAGAAAGATGATAAACTACGGCGACTTGAGAGTCAATAGAAGAGTCAGTGCCTGGTCTATATATGAATTATGGTGTATTTACATAGAACATGTTTCCATGTAAGAAAACTATCATCGTCTCTTTTTTAGGATGTGTTGACTGGGCATTACAAAGTCTGGAACGATCAGGGCAGTAAATACAAAGATCAATTGAAGAATATGATTCAATGGTAGAGCTATTTTTGATGTTAACTAAACAGTTTTCGCTTTGCCACTACCTAAACTTGAAAAAGGATACTCGGTTATCCACGTTCCTAAGACAAGTTTTTAGAAGGTACACGGATAGACAATCTCTAATAGTGTACATTGTACATCCGGCATCTTGAGTATATTCCAAGTATATTCTATCTGCATTGTACATAAATTCAGTTCAATTTTATAAACTACCACAACAGT